GCACCTCGTTTCCTTGCCATGGTTGATTTTAGCCCAGAGGGTGGTTACGTGTGTACTGAGTGATGACTCGTAGTGTCTGTCACGTTTATTTCTTTCACCTTGAATTTTTAGTTGTAGGATTTAAAACATCAGATATTTAAGTTCAAGAGCTTTGTTTCGGTCATCCTGGGGCCCTGAAATCAAACCTAGGCATTCTATCCATAATAAGAGCTGTCATTCCAAGCACCCACCCCAGGCATTCTGTATACCTTATCTCTGTTCTCACAATAGTTTTCTTTTTCGTTTGTTTTGTTTTTTTAAAGATTTTTGGACAGAGAGAGAGAGTGAGAGGGAAAGTGAGAAACTGCCCCCTGGAGAATTGCCATGCCACAATCTCTTCTCTCCACTCTTCTCTTGGAATTTTGGGCATGCATGCATACACACCTGGTGTGATTTTTCAAGCTGCTGGGTCTAGGATGCAAATGTGGTCGGCCACATGGGAGTCCCTTGCCTTAACCACCACACCACCTGCTGGCCCTTTCAGGATAGTCCTATGGCGTATGCAGTGTGGCACTCATCTTACCCACAAGAGCAGGTTCAGCCGGGCCAAGTAGCTTGCCTGAGATCACACAGCTAGCCAGCAGCCCAGCCTGGCTTCAAGTCTTGGTCAGTCTGACTCTAGAAGTCCTTGACCTTCTTACTTTGTTGCATGACTAGTGTCAAAGAAAATCTTAGGACATCAGGAGACAGGCGGCCTGAACAATTCTGAGCAGCACTGAAATGGTGTCCCCATGGCTCTCTGCCCTCTGCCTGAAATGGGTCTCTGCAATTGTACAGTTAATTTGGGTACCCAGCTGGAGGGGCTCTCCAGTGCTTTGAGGGCAGATGACACATGGAAGAGCCGTGCCCAGTGGCCAAGTATCTACATGCTACAGGGCCAACTTTCAAAGCGGGGACATAGTCTTAGGTTTCTACTTTCTCTAGGCCCATCTGTACCCTCAGCCTGTTCAGAACATTGGAGGATAGATCTCTCCTTACCTTTTAATAGAAATATAGAAAGCAAGTCGGAAGAATGTCTAGGTAGAGTTTTTAACGGATTTTTGCAGACATTGTTTGTTCTTCCTTTACACAATATGAGGTCCATCATCTGGGAAAGGGACCACTAGACCTTGGCTCCCAGACCAAACGATTCAGTAAGTATTTGCAAAATATGTCAGGTGCTTATATCTCATAAAGTATCTACTCAAAGGATGTAATGGAAAAGGCAAAAGGGCCTTTGACTATTGATTGTCTGATAGTTGAAGTGAACAAAGCAGTAAGAAAATTCTCACCCATTTCGTGCCCACTTCAACTTTTGTTCCAGGACCTCTTCTCTGAGGTGAGGTGGCCTGTCCAGGGAGAACCTGGAGAGAAAAAAATCTTGTACCTGCGCCCTGATGGTGTTGGATGGAGGACTGTTCTCTTGATAGAGTGAGGGTGGGGAGGAGGCTGGGCACGCTTGGAGATGAGGTGATAAACGAAAAGGAAAAATTACTTAGGAAGTGAAAATTCATGGAATGTAATTGAAATAACTGAACTCCGGTCAAACTAGGAAAAATGGTAAGGGCAAAAGCAAGGAGGACAAAAAAAG